ACTGAAATTTTGGATTTAGATTAACAAAATATGCAGATTCTTATTTAGTATTTAGTAGTGACATTTGATTAGTGATTCTGTGTATGTCCTAGTACAACATACAAAATATTCGCCACATATTATCACAAACAACGAAAAGTTTATTAATAAACAACACACTCACCTTGGCTCTTTGATTCATTTTTCGTATATTAGGTGTCAGGTCTGTTCTTGTCAGAACTTAAAGTTGGTTAAAGGGGGTTCCTCGTGGTCTGGTGCCTGTCTAGTGTGCTAGTCTTAAATCTGTTGCTATTCGGGGTAGTCCCTCACTATCCTTTCATGTAATGATTCCATACCTCTCTTCTCTGTTTTCCAGATTGTACAATATTAAATATACTATATATTATATATATATATATATATATATATATATATATATATATATATATATATATATACATAAATAAATGTCTTATTTGGTTATTTGGTATTTTTCCTCTCAATATTTTCCTAATAATTGATTTCAAGGCTCCCATTTTTAACTTTAAGTGTTATTTTTTTCGGTATCTGCTGTTTTCTATCGCAAATGTCATTACACATGATTTATATACATATATTTTCTCATTTACCCCCATATTTGCTTGTTTTCTCACACTCTCGTTAAGGTATCTGTAGCTGGATATTTCTACTTCCAGACATTCTGATTTCAAGACTTGTTTTATTATTTCGTTAATCTAAAGGAAGAATTTGCGAAGTTGTGCAAGGAAGCATCCAATAGGGGTTTGGAAATAAAACAAAATACCTAATACGCTCAAGAAACATACAGTTATTGTGATAAGATTAAGTATTGGCGAATTTGAGTGAAAAGGTAGAACACTTTAAATATCTTCGGGTCTCAATTAATGGAACTAATGATATAAGCATAGTAATCAATGAAAGAATTTTGGCAGGAAACAGAACTAACTGGAAATACAACAACTTCCTTAAAGATAAGAAGCTTACTCAGAATACTAAATTCATTATTACCATAGCTACTTAATAATGAATTTAGAAAACTGATGAGCTACAAAGTAAGAGAAATTTTGAAAGGAGAAGACATCATCAGATGTATCAACGTACAGATAATCAGATGGATAGACATCTAGAAAGGAGAAATCCAGAAGCAGTTATAAAGAAAATCACTAAATACACACCAGTATCAGGAAGACTTAGTTTGCCCGAGGATGGGAGAACCAGATAATTGCGAACTTTAAAAAGATGGGAGTTAGAGAATGGAAAACCATGGGGAAAAAGAGGAAAGAATGAAGAAGTATTGTAGAAAACGCTAAGTCTCACAACCATTTGTAAAACCAAAATGTTAAAACGGACTGATTTCCTGCGACCAATGAACCGGAAGAGCCCAAAGAAGGCTGGAAACACTCAGCTAGAAGTTTAGATGTCATGATGATGAAAATGTCTCATCTTCATATTGTTTTGAATGTTTATACCATTCGTTGTAGGTTATTTTTGGTTTCTGATATCTGGATCTGCGTAACAAAGGATTTTCTGCTCAGCTTTTATTCTTGTTCTGCCTTTTTAATTTATTCAATGATTTTGTCTATTACTAAGTGGAAGATCCGTGGACTCAAGCTATCTTCTTGCCGGATTTCCGAGTCGATATCTACTCTCGTTGATAGTTTATTTTCGCACTTTTCTTTTGTTGTTTGTGTTGTGTTCAATTATCTTTACCATTCTGTTGGAATGATTTTCTTCTTTTAGTAATTGTAACACATCTTATAATCTAACTCAGCCAAAGGCTTTAGTCAGATCTAAAGATCCAACTTGTTGCTCTTCACTGAATTTTTGATTTCAATATTAATAATTCGTAGTGATTATATTTTTGTAGTAAATGTGTGTAATGTGTTAATGTATTCTGTAGTTCCTGAGGTTAGGTAATATATAATATATATATATATATATATATATATATATATATATATATATATAAATATATATATATATATATATATAAATATATATATATATATAAATATATATATATATATATATATATATATATATATATATATATATATATATATATAAATATATATATATATATATATATATATATATAAATATATATATATATATATATATATATATATATATATATATATATATATATATATATATATATATTACCTATCCAAACACCAATCCAATAAACCTCGCCTTCACAGAAGTAGAGCTAAATTTGGCAATTTCATCAATGAAAAACTCATATGCAGGTCCTGATGACATCCCGTCTATCTTTCTCAAACATCTACAGGCAGGAACCCTCTTGAAGCTACTTGCACTCTACAATAAGATATGGTTCAGCCAAAGCTTTCCGAGTCTCTGGCGACAGTCGCTTATCATACCGATCAGGAAAAATGACTCATTTGTAACACTGCCAGTGCCTACAGGCCAATCTCACTAACATGTACAATGTGCAAACTACTAGAAAAGATGATAAATAAACGTTTGCTTTGGTTTCTTGAAGAAAACAATCTGATAGATGCAGCACAGTCAGGATTCAGACCCAATCGAAGTACGATAGATAACCTGGTACTTCTCCAAACAGAAATAACCCAAGCTATATCAAACAAACATGACGTCATTACAGTTTCCTTAGACTTAGAAAGTGCCTTTGACACAATAAACAGAGCTGCTATTATTAGAAAACTTGAGCAACCTAATTTAACGGGTAATATTATCGCCTTTATAAACAATTTCCTACAAGATAGATCATTCAAAGTAGTCGCAAACGGTAAAACATCTACATCACATATCTCACAAAATGGAGTCACCCAAAGTTCAGTTCTCAGCCCTACACTATTCCTTCTTAGCATTAACGATATAACCTCTGTTGTTCTTCCTCCAATAAAATACTCAATATACGCAGATGATCTCGTTCTTTATTGCCAAGGTAAAGTTACAAGGAGCACATGCTCTTTCTCCAAAACATGAACATTAGCCTAGGCGCCTTTAAATCAAGTCCTTCTGAAAGTCTTTATATCGAATCTTCAGAACCTCCACTTTTTATAAGACGGCAACGTCTACTTCTGTCTTACTTCTCTAGAATTTCTGCTAATTCAAAAAACCTAGTAATTAAACTAATTAATACTTCCCACCCTGTCCCAGATAATAGTCACCCTCGAGCACATTCTCTCTCACAAATTTTAAAAACTTTACTAAAAGACATATACCTAAAACTCACAACTCCGTTTACTACGTCCAGAATTCCCCCGTGGACCAAAAAGCTACCTACTGTCCTTACCAGCTTGAACCGATACAAAAAAGAAGAAACGCCCAGAACTCTCTTGGTACAAGCATTTGAGGAACTTATACAGATACAGCGTTATGACAAAACTCTCTACACAGATGCCTCCAAAGAAGAACAAGTCGTCGGTTGTGCCATCAGTACCTCAAACACAACAACAGCGTCACATCGGCTTTCTCCTAGATGCAGTATACACACAGCCGAACTGTATGGAATACTTAAGGCATTAGACTCGCCCATTGCTAATGAGAAATCATTAGCAATATGCACCGACTCTCTCTCCGCCATTGACTCAATCAGAAATATATACTCCATACATCCCATTGTACAGTGCATCCACAGTATCTGCCAACAAAAGTCAAAAAATGGTGTTTCAGTAACTATCATCTGGATACCATCCCATGTTGGCATCAATGGAAATGAGAACGCTGATCATGCAGCAAAACTAGCCTGCTCCTTAGAAGATATGGAAAACATACAACTTCACCAAGACCTATAGGCCAGTATCAAGAACAACATACTAAGCACTTGACAAACACATTGGAACATGCAAAATACAAAACTATGCACAATTCAACCAACTGTTACCTCCATCACCATGCCTCAAATGAGCCGAAATGACAATATCATTATTAGAAGGCTCAGAATAGGTCACACTCATCTTACTCATGGATATCTAATGTCTTCTGAAAACCATCGTCACTGTGAACATTGTAATGAGTCCTTAACAGTCCAGCACATATTACTAGAATGTGTCCACTACAAACCTCAGAGGGACTACCACAACTTTCAAAATAATTGACACAACTAAAATACTGTCACCTTTACTACTTGGTGTAATTATATTAGATGTTAATGTATCCTAACTTGTATATGAACAGATTGTATATGTATGTAAAGATAAACATATTGTAATCAATTTTGTACCAGTGTCAATGGCCAATAGTTGCCGAGACACTTTAATTTAAAATAAAAAAACTTAAAATTTTCCAAAACATTAAAACAGTACATTTTTTACTCAATTTTCATCTCCATTTTCATGGTCAAATCTATCATTAAACATTATGGTGAAAGTATGCAACTTTGTTCCGATTCTTTCCTAATTTTATAAGGTACTGAAGGTGGTTTATCTTTATTTTTCCTTTTATTTTTGCCATCTATGTGTCCTCTTATTATAGTGACGTGCACCTTTAGTACGTTGGAGAATTATCTTACGGCCAGTCGCCTATCCTTCGCGGCGTGACACAGCTCTTCAGTGTTATTTATGCCTACATTGCGTATATTATGAATTGCATCTTGAAGTCGAATCCGGGGGATTCCTAGCATCCTCTGACCATCTAAGGTCCGACATATTAAGATAATTATCTCTGAGAAAGACGGTGAAGTGTTGTATTATTCCTTACTTTAAACACTATTATGAGGAAGACATTGACTTATTCCTCGTGGGAACGTTTATACCGATACTCGGTCACCAGACCCTCGTCTGTTATCTAGCAGGGTGCACCGAGTGACAAAAATTGCCACCACGTGACCAAATGAGGTTGACATTAGAGGCCAATATTTTCACCATTACATCATTATTCATCGTCGCCCGTTACACCCCCCTATGTGTTTTAGAATTACCTAATTAATGCTTAAGAATCTTGTTGGTGTCAAATATAATTTTATTATTTTAAGGAACGTAGAAATATAATTATATTTTCTGTTTTTAATAAAGGATGATGACATAACAGTTGAAACAGTAGATGAATCAGTTCCTGATGTTGCTTATGAAAGCCCAGTTCCCATAGATCCCAGGAAAGTGTACTTAGCTGAACATTTTGATGATCCTGCACAATTTCAAAAGCGATGGATCAAATCTCAAGCTAAAAAGGAAGGAATAGAAGAAGACATAGCCAAATATGACGGACAATGGGAAGTAGAAGCTGCAACAAAAGATAGCTTACCCAATGACAGGTAAATTTTATTTTTCTTTAAATTTTGGCTCATGGATTAGTAGTACCGCGAGAGATTGGATCTCGTGGTTGTCTCTCACGATACTGCTAAGCCTTTCCGAATGACGTTGAGATGATAAAAAACTAGGCATACATACTCATATGTTTTCTTTTGTAGTGGTTTGGTACTCAAAACTAAAGCCAAACATGCAGCGATTTCAGCGCATCTAGCAAAGCCGTTTGTGTTTGCGGATAAGCCGTTGATCTTACAGTATGAAGTACTGTTACAAGAAGGCCAAGAATGTGGAGGCTCTTACTTAAAATTACTAAGTGAGGGGCCAGAATCCAAGAATCTCAATAATTTCCATGATAAAACGCCCTACACCATTATGTTTGGGCCTGATAAGTGTGGAAACGATCATAAATTACATTTTATTTTCAGGCATAGGTAAGTCACAAATAATAATAAAATTTATGTATATTTACTAGAACATTATTTTTTAGAAATCCATTGAATGGTAGCATCGAAGAAAAACATTGTCAGAAGCCAAAGGAACGTCTAGAGGAATACTTTTCCGATAAACTTCCTCATCTATACACTTTAGTTCTAAATCCAGACAATACTTTTGAAATTTCAGTAGATAAGAAAGTAGTAAACTCTGGAAGTTTACTTGAAGATTTCGTGCCCCCAGTAAATCCCCCAGCTGAAATCGATGACCCTAATGATAAAAAACCAGAAGATTGGGATGAGAGGTAATTATTTTAAAAAGGTTGTAGTCTGAATGTTCTTTATCTTGTTTCCTCTTTAGGGAGAAAATTCCAGATCCTGATGATAGAAAACCAGCTGACTGGGATGAAGATGCTCCACCACAAATATTTGACGAATCAGAGTCGATACCAGATGGTTGGTTAGAAAACGAGCCAACTCACATTCCGGATCCAGATGCTATAAAACCAGCAGACTGGGACAGCGATATGGATGGTGAATGGGAACCACCATTGATAGAAAACCCAGCATGTAAGGCTGCTGCAGGATGTGGACATTGGGAACCACCATTGATCAATAATCCAGGGTATAAAGGCAAATGGAGACCACGTCTCATTACCAATCCCAACTATAAGGGAAAATGGAGGCCAAAAAAGATTCCAAATCCAGATTATTTTGATGATCAACATCCATTCAAGATGACCACTGTGGTATGTGCAAGTTTTATTATCATTTGTCATATGTTGAATGTATAAAGTTGGGTCTGTGGATATTTACGATATATAAACTAAAGAAATGTTATTGATTTGACTTTTTATATAAATTTATTTTTAGTGAATCTCCAAACGCTAATAACTATTGAGTATTTATGTTCATATAGAGATGACTCGGAATTCAAAGAACTGAACATTTATTATCAGATTGAATTTTCTGCTTTCTAATATAATTGACAAATAAAATATTTTATATCCATAACACTGCTACGTTACCTCTTTAGGAAAGGTTCGATACCAGGTTCTATAACACTCTTAGTTACCTCCTTAGGAAAGGGTCGATACCAGGTGCACACATTTTTTGTTTTTGACATTCGATTTCCGGTCGGCCCTCATTTCGTTCCCGAGCTGGTACTAGAAGATAATTCTACTCTTAATTTCTACCGATGCTAGTTATGACACCACTCAACTCGTCCCCAAGCAGGGGAGTTTAAGAAAGTTTAAATTTATTTTCACTTTCATTTTTTAATAACTACTTGCAAGCAAAACATCATGGAAGGCTCTAAAAGTTTTATTGAACGTGGAAAACCTGTATTATAATATTTAGCAGAGTTAAACAGAACGAGTTAAAAAGTGGTGTAGTGTGTTGAAGATGTGCGATTCGCTTCTGTAAAGCTAAAATTTATACTGTGGGTGCCGAAAACTTGATTATGCGCAGTTAACTGAAACATACCCATGAAAAAAAAATTGGTAAAACTAAATTGGCAGATAGTGAGTGTTGGTGTTAAATGTAAAGCCACCGATGACATTTGTGAGAAACCTTGCAAAGTAATACATTCTGTTTTTAAGATCCTGCCCAGTTAAGTACTTTAACATTCACTATATTCGTACCACTACTCATAAGAACAGAAGAAAAACTCTTCCGTCTTTACCAAAAAATGGAACAAACGCCATTGCGACTATAAAAACAATGACTATTAAGACAATAAAAGATGAAAACTTCGTTTTCATTACCGACGATATCAAAGAAATTATCGTATTTTCGTGTCTAACAAATTTTACCCTTATTTTCAAAAGTAGTAAATTATATATCGATGGTATATTTAGCTACTGTCCAGATCATTTCTTGCAGTTGTTCACACTGCAATATTGACAAATGGATATTATATTCCACTCGCTTTTTGTTTACTAACAAATAAGAAGGAATGTTAGTACAAAAATCTTTTTAATCTTTTGCAAAGTAAATACTTAAGTTTGGTATTCAATCTGAACTCAGAAATCATTGTGGCAGTGTTTAAAATATCTATTCACAATGCCTTAAGAACAGTGTTTTCAAATTCCAAAATAGTGGGCTGCAGGTTACATTTGGCTCACATTGTTTCGCAAAATTCAAAATCTGGGACTCGTTCCTGATTACAGGAACGAAAACAGTGCAATTGGAAAATGGCTACGATATATATTTGGTTTACATAGAAGCATAAATGCATGTGAATCTTTACATGCTAAATTTAATGCCAGTTTCGACATAGTCGACAGTTTTTTTACCGTGATGTTAGTGTTGTTTTGGAAGTAACTAGTATGGCGGGAAAAAGGAAACGAAAACAAAAAAAAACATCTTATAAGCTTGACAAATAAATTTTATGGGTCCATCAAGGAATTTGTTGGAGCGATTAATTACAGGGACCCGATCCGTCAACTGCGCATGTGCGAAACGACTGCATTCGAACCTTCAAATGAAAATGTTAAGCGGTATCTTGCCTTGTCGAATAAAAATTGTTTTGAATAGTTCCCTATTTACGTAATTAGTAAATATGTCAGTGAACTGTTTTGAATGTGGTAAAATTTTCTCAAATCAGTCTAAGCTTTCTACGCCGATGCAATGTGGAGAAAATGTGCGTTTAAATAAGTGTCTGGAAGATTTCCAGTAACTTTTTTTTCAAACCGAAAGGACTTATACATTAATGAAGTTTATTTTACAGAAATTATGAAAGTTGTTGGAAAAATACAAACACTCTGTTTTAAGTCCGACATTACTTCAGTTTTTTATGAAAGAGTATTGAAGAATTAAGCTATTTTAAACACGTTTTAGAACGAGACAACTTTTGAAAACATCCACCTGAAGACAACGATTTTGCCAACCCATACAAAAGATTAACCGTAATATGTCATTTAAATTTAGTTCATTAATAATTTGTTTACTTTCAACAACAATAAATAAATTTAAGTTTATAATAATATTTATATATACTTAATAATTTATTATAATCCTTATCTTCACTCATAAACGTGTATTACGTTAAATATTTTAAACTATCTGGTGCAAAGTTAACAATTTCCATAAGCTACTACAACAAAATAAACAATCTTGGACGGTTAATATCAAAGTCGTCAATATACATGTGATTTTCTTTCTTATTACTCAGAGTACATTATGAATGTAACAACTATAAATAAATATTGTAAAATTTCCTATTTTTATTCCTAATCGTTTTTATAAACTTGCTCAGATTTTTTTAGGTTGGAGATTGCCCATCGTTGTCACTCTTGATGTCATTGTCATTTCAAATATTTGCACATGCGCAGTTGACGGATCGGGTCCCTGTAATTAATCGCTCCTGGAATTTGTATCCTATTTATACTTCTTACGAATGGTCGAATTTTATTGCCCTTTATTGAGGGTGTTTTTATCATTGACGGATACTAGGAAATTCCGATGGTGAGTGCCCGCGGTCGTGTGAGTTTAGACTCGGTTGTTATACGCAGGAAGTCACAAAATAAAAATTTTCTCTTATATTTTCCCTTATATATTAAATAGTCGTTATTCCAGAGTTCCGTAGAATTTGGCCGGCTACCCTTGAACTCTCTAGAACAGCATAGAAAGAAGACAGATTTTATCGTTGGGGAAACTACTAAAAAAATACTGATTAGAAAAACATGTTTACAGTTTTTAGGTTATGAGTCATATTTATCGTAACAGTATTACCATCGCAATATACCCATTTTTTAAAACGATTTCTGGATTGGAAATCAGAACGTCAAAAACAAAAAAAAAATCAATGTGGTTTATTTCCATGTATAAAATATTCAGTAAATTATTTAGTATTGCAATATGTATTTCTTGAATGTTCATTTCTTGGACCTCTAACCCTAAAAATAGAAAACGAGGCTTCATTAAAATTATCTGTTTTAATTAGGTATTAATAACGCACATGTCCACTTATCCAACTGTATTTCCCTGATGAAATGTTTTCATTACATATCTTATAAATTCTGTTACAGTCTGCCGTTGGTTTCGAGCTTTGGTCGATGTCTCAAGATATTCTTTTTGATAATTTACTCATAACAGAAGATATAACTGTAGCCAATAAATGGGCTGCCGATACATTTGACAAGAAGCGTCAAAAAATTGCCAAGGATTCGGTAAGTTAAGCTTTTGGTAGAAATAGTTAGCATTTATTTTATCTACGATAAAATATTTTAAACTTCTTTAATGAAAAATACATTTTTTCTCCTATACGGTCTATAAATTTAAAGAGTCTTCAGATATTCTTGAGTTGTACTCAGGTGGTAAAAATTCCAAATACTGTAAGAAATCATTATCAATTTTAGAAATACCACGTTTTTTCTTGGGTAAAAATTGGGTTTCCTCTGGGATAAAGATGGGGTTGTGCTTGCATTACACAATCAAATTTATGGAACAAACTTAACTAAATGACTCTTACAGATCAACAAACTGCTTGCCTTCCAATTTAATCTTCTCTATTTCTCGTTAAAACTCATTTTCTACCTTACTTTGTAGCTGTTGAAGACATATATTGTATTATAAATAAGAATGATTAAATTAAATTTTTCAAAAGCACATGAATCAATTAGATTTCTTACATAAACGTTTTCATAATATTAAAATGTGAAAGATAATTATCAAATAACTAAAAGAACGAAAAACCGCATGGACATGTAATAATGTAATATAATAATAAACAATGTAATGTAATAAATTGAAGCAAATGAAACAAAGATAAGGTTAAACCTAACATCGAGAAATTTAAACAACCAGAAGAACAAGCAGTGATAGAGAAAATATTCAATGATAATCTCAAAGAAAAAATTAGTAAATCTCCTGCGAAATCAGAAGAGACAGTTAAAAGTATTTGGCACAATTTCAAAACAACAATCACAACCGTACAAACGGAAACAGTACAACACAACATAAGAAATACAAAGAATACAAAGATGACAGGAGAAATCTTAGCACTGATGGACATATGAAGTGAGAAGAAACCCAGAGAATCATCAGAAAAATCAGGAAAGCGAACGAAGCATGGATAGACATCAGATGTAAGCAGCTGGGAGATTTACTAATAACACATGACCACTTTAACGCGTACAAAAACATAAAGGAGGTCACAAATACGAAGGAAAAATTCACTACAACAACTCTAGTAGATGATAACAATCAAGTAGTATCTAGCCCAGAAAATGTAGGAAACATGTAGGAAAAATACATTAAGATTTCTTTGATGACGAAAAAACAAATCTACAAATGAATACACAACACGATTATTGAATAAAATATATACCACCGGAATCTTCCCAGAAAACTGGCTCAAATCGACATTTTACCTATACTCAAGAAAAATTAATCAAATATATGATCACAGTTCAAGATTAATTAGTCTGAAGAGCCACGTTCTAAAAATTCTACTCAGAGTTGTAGAGAGAATGCGAGAAAAACCTGAGCGACAATCAATTTGGATTTCTTATGGGGGTTGGTTCGAAGGAGGCATTATTTGGCCACCAGATATTAGTACAAAAATGCCGAGATGAGTTGTTTGTCTGTTCCCCCTCTAAAATGCATGAATATATCAATTCATTGTGATGAAAACTTAAAGTAAATGGAGTAATTGTGGAGCAAGCAAGAAAATAATTGAAAATATTAATGTGTAGAAGGAACATGTGTAGAAGGTGTCCTCTAAGAAGAAACGGCAATTTTAATGAATCAGTGTAAATGGCCAACGAATAGAAAAAGTTAAAACATATACCGTACTACCCTCAATAGGAATTGGGTACATTCCCTAGAAATTAAATGTAGAATAGAGAAAGCAAGATCTGCATTTCAAAAAATGATTCAGCTATTCAAATGTCATGATTTATCAATAACCATAAGAATTATGTTACTACGATGTTATATCCTTATAATACACTCTACGTGGAGTCTTGGACTTCTACTGATGCTATGTGCAAAAAAATTGTGGCTTTATCATCGAATCGAAAAAATATCTTTACCGACCATGTTACTAATTAGGATGTTTTATTAAGAATGCAAAAATAAAAAGAGCTGTTAACCAGAATAAAAACAGCCAAAATCGAATACTTCGGTTACATCACGAAATATATGGATTACTGCAACTAATTTTGCAAGGAAATGTAGAAGGAGAACGAGACCTAAGGAGACGAAGGAATTCGTGACCGAAGAAACTACATGTGTGGTTTAACACAACAACCACAAATATTTTTAGAGAAACAGTGTGCAAAGTACAGATTGCCATGATGGTCGCCAAATTCTGAAACGGATGGGAACTACAAGAAGTGTACCTTCAGGTTTTGACGATGTTGGGGAGGAAGTAAAACAACAAACCAAATTTAGAATCTACAAAAAATCTGTAAGGGTATCATGACATAATGCAGGAATTAGTTCAAAACCATAAAAAACCAAATGACTACCGGAAACAATAGAAATGAAAATACTTAAAAAAGAGTAGACTGAATATATAAGAGATGTTTCAAAACTATATGAACCTTGGAAATACGCATCCCGAGAAAAAAAAATGATTCCTGAAAGCATTAAATATTTTAATTTCCCACTGAATTCTATATCAAATATTAAAAACAATAAATACTCCCAACTATTTTTCTAATGCAAAAACTAATTTGCCTCTGTATTGCTATCAGAACGCACTGCATACAAATAAATGATTTAAGTAATGGCGGATTTTATAGTTTTCTTCGTCGATTGACACTAAATAAGTGAGACAAGTTCATGGAATTTTGCCAGTAGTAAGACCAACAAGAGACTAATAGAAGCAACAATGACGAGAATCGCTTGAGATAAATCACCAGAGTATTGGAGCGGGGGATCAGCGAATAAGATAGGGCGACGATCAAGTATGTAGCGATATGTGTAAAAAGATAAAACAGACAATTTGCCTTAAATCAAGAAGGAAGAACAATAGAGAAAAATAAAATGAGTATTATGCAGTATCACGCTATTGTTCTTCATGTTCGGCTATTCCCGGATTTTTTTTTTCGTTTACCCTGTGATTTTCAATAACTTACATTATGTTTTAAACATTTTATTTTAGTACACTTCTGCCAATTGCCTTGTTTTATATTCCAAGGCATAATAGTCTTGGTAATTTATCATTTCGGACCGAAAGCATATTTAGCGTGCCTCAAAAAACCGACACCCGTGCAGTAAACTTGTGATCTACAGTAATATGCCTACACAGTATACATACATACACACTTATACAGTGGTGAGTGCTTTATCGCCCGGCTTTTTAACGTAAGAGATAGAAAACACAGTTACCTTGTGAAATAAAAAGAGATGAAACTCGTAAAGGTGGGAAATAATCGATAGAAACCTATAATTTACATTACATTACATTACCACCGTCGATAGTCTCACACCTTTAGCCGTTATTATAGTATTAGAAGTGTTTAAAGTCGCTTTAAAACTCGGCAAAATAGCGGAAAGGATAGAAGATGGATTTTGTGAGAAAGAATGAGATAAAGCTAGTTCTTAGACGTGGCTATTTGACTTCAGTCATAATTATACGGATGACCGCGAAAATATTTTATTTTAATATCTTCTGATGTAAGAATAAATGATTAAATAAATTAAGAATTAAAGTAAAAAACATTAATTAGTAGCGATTTTAAATTATAAATCTTTAAGTTTATTTAATAATAAAAATAACTCAACTGAAATATTTGACTAAACTAAAGGTAGGTATGTTCTGTCCGATACTATTTATTGTATGTGGAGTTGGTGTAATTATTAGACACGTAGTCTATTGACAAGAAGATTGGGGTTCAATTCCCACCAAGGATAAAATTTTTGTTTTACTCAATCAAAAAATAATAGAAAATATTATACATATTAGGTAACAAGTTTTCGAAAAACTCATTATTTATAATTTATTCTTATTCCAATGTTATAAAACAGAAATACAAAATAATTCAAATTCAAAAATATATTTATGTGTCACTTTAAACACTTCTAATACTAGTAACGACTGACATAAGTGATGTTTAGTGATTCAAATCAAAACGATCTCTGCATAATTTCATATTATTAAAAAAAAAAAAAAACCACATGTGGGTTTTGAACTCTAATCGTCTGCGTCGCAGTGTCGAATTCTTACCACTAATCCACGAAGGACTGATGTTTATTTCCGTGACAAGAGTGTATGAAACTCCTCAAATCATAGAAATTATTTTTGGTTAATAATTTAAAATTTTAGATTAAATAATCACTATTAATTAATTTTATTCACATTTTTGCTTTATTGTGGTCAATCATTTTTTACTTTATGCGAAATTAAAAAATGTCACTGAAATATGTTACACATACGATGTCACAAATAATAATTATGACCGAGGTGATTTAGCTGGAAGCTAACGTCTAAAGGTGTGAGACTATCGATAGTGTTAATGCAATGTAATGTAAATTATAGGTTTCTATCGATTATTTCCCACCTCTACGAGTTTCATCTCTTTTTATTTCACAAGGTAACTGTGTTTTCTATCTCTTACGTTAAAAAGCCGGTTGATAAAGCACTCACCACTGTATATAAAAATGAAATATATTTTAAATAAGATTAAATACAATTAAACAAAATTAAATAAAATTAAATACAATTAAATGAAATTAGTAAAATTAAATAAAATTAAATAAAATTAAATAAAATTAAATAAAATCAAATAAAATCAAATAAAATTCAATAAAATTAAATAAAATTAAAAACAAAATAACTAAAGTTAAATAAAGTTACATAAATTCAATAAAATTCTTCTTGATGTGCCTATCCGTTACGAATGTTGGCGATCATCATGGCAATATTTATCTTATCTGCAGCAGCGCGGAAAAGCTGCACAGATGTTGTATTGAACCAGATTCTGAGGTTCTTTAACCAAGATGTTCTTCTTCTTCGTGGACCTCGCTTTCCAATTATTTTTTGTTGTAGGATGGCTTGAAGGAGAGCATATCTGGATTCATTTCGCATATGTCCGAAGAATTGTAACTTTCGAGAATTAATGGTGGTCAGTACCTCTCGGTTCTTATTCATTCTTCATTCATATCTCCTCATTTGCGACACGGTCAGTCCACGAGATCTTAAGTATTCTCCTATATAGCC